TCTGTAGCTAGCCTCCATTCATGGCAGTTGGCCTATTCGGCCTGCCAATGGTGCTGTCTGCCACTATTGGCTTATTTGAAATTACTGAGGCCGAAAAGTGTGCCTCAGTGAGCACCTTCAGACTCTCCTCAAAAGTTGCCGTGTAGGTATTGTCATTCTTCTTCAGAGAACCTACTTGGTTTACAGTACCTTCTTTGGCTAGCACTTTGTGGATCTTTGAACATGTGGATGTTTCTGTGACCTCCTCACAGAACATTTTCTACGATTGCCTTCTCGATTTCCTAATCTCTCCGTTGTACTGCGTGAGTTTAACCTTATATGTGGTCCAATTCTAGACGAGTTTTGCTTTGTTGAATAGCCTTCGCACCTCCTCTCGTAAGGATTCGAGATGCTTGTTCCACCAGATTGTTTTATTGTTTTGTTGTCTTGTTTTTTCTGGGCAGTTACTTTCGTAGGCGGCAACTATTGCCTTGCTTACTTGGTCTACTGACCTCTCAAGACTGTGACTGTCCCTTATGTCAGTCGTGGTACTTTGTAGAGATTCTCTGAGTGATGTTGCGTATCCTTCCCAGTTGGTCTCTCTGGGGTTTCTGTACTTTGTTAAGGTACGAGGTGGGGTAATTATATCAAATCTTATTTGTCTATGGTCAGAGCACGAAGGGTCGTCTGACACATGCCAGTTGACGATATTATCACATGCTTTTTCTGACGAGAGAGTTATATCTAGAACTCCTTTCCTCGCTGCCGTGACAAATGTTGGTTCGCATCCTACATTAGCTATTGATAACGTTTCTCTTAGTATGAATTGCAAAAGTGACTCACCTCTTACGTTGACGTCTGTGCTTCCCCATACGGTATGGTGTGCATTTGCGTCACATCCTATGATGAGTTGGAGGTTTACCCTTGCCGCATATGCGATTACTCTGCCTAGTATCGGTGGTGGGCAAACCTCCTCGCCTGGGAAATACGCGGAGCACACTATCGAGCTTCTGGTGCCTTCCTCTGTCGGCGTGATTAGGAGTCCTGTAACAATATCACCGGTGCAGAGCACCGGTATTAGTGTGCATTTTACTCTATCGCTATATACTATGCATGCGCGAGGTTTATTGTTACCGTCTACGTATAGTACTCAACCTTGGTTGGGTTTCAAGCCAGCTACCCTCCTTCCATGTAACCAGGGTTCTTGCAAGAGGGCCAGGTCGAAACCCTCATTGTCAGATCCCCTACATACCATAGCGCTGGACACCTTGGCATGATGGAGATTCAACTGCAGAACCCTGATCTTACGGTTAAGTTCTGTGAACTGAACCCTTCTTCCGCCTTCTTTGAGGCATCCCCCTTCTCCATGAGTGTTGCGCTATCATGTGCTATTGGCCTCTTGAGAGAGCTACTTCCACTTTGGGAGGGCTTTGCCTCGTCCTCTTCTTGTGCCTCTTGAGCCTCCTGAATTGGCTCGGCGTCTTCTTCTTTTTCCTTGACATGTTTCCCCTTCTGTCTGAATTTGATTCTCCCTAGATTGGAGTAGGGAGACATGTCAAGTTCACAAGTTCTTCCAGTGACTGTTTGTCCATGAAGAAGACCCAAGTTTGACCTTTGGCCGCAGGAGTTTTGCCCCAAACCGTCCAGAGGTGCGTGTTTAGCCCATGATTTGCGACTTTGAGCCGGTGCAGAATTTTTTCCGCCTCTGTCTTCTGCCCTCTTTCATCAGGGATGAAGGTAGTGCAGGCGTAGGTTGCAGGTAAGTCATCCCCCTCCAACACTGTCAGGGTAGCTTCCTCCCAGGGTTTTATGGTTGGGATGACTGTAGCAATTTTAATTAACACTATATTATGCAGTCTATGAAAATTGCTACTAGATATCACTTTTACATATTGATCAGTGACAAACTCTACCATTGGAATAAAACTTGTGCTTATAATTCCTTAGTCATTTGGAAAACAAACACAACTTATCAATAACAGGGAAATCCTCTATCACCGATCTATAGCAGATTGTCAATTTCATTTAAAGAACGTTAATCATACCTTGTAAGTATCAACTGGAAAGGTCACTGCATAAAAGTTATCACATAACAATTCTACTCTGTATGAATTGTTGGAAGATTGTATTGTTATCATTCTATAATGTTTCGATTTCTCCTGTTGATATGAATTGGAAAAGGACACTGAGTTTCACATGATGTTTGCTATAAACTGATGTCGCCTGATCACACAGTATTACAGCCACCTTTTTAATAATTTTCATGTAATTAGATCCATTGTTTTGATCATGATAATTATATTTTGACATTTCAAAATATTGAGGTTAGGACGACAAACAGCTGGTAGGACTTTAGCCACACCATCTACTTCGCTTCTCAAATGGTTGGTCGAATAGGATTCGTAACCAATCGGATATTAATGAGATCAGGTGTGGTAGAATTGAAATGAATGAATGGATCAGTCGTTCCGTGAGTTCTGGTTATTGATGATCTAAGGTGAGGAGTAATTCTATTGACCTTGACAGAATAGATGTAAATAAAGTCAAATTGACAAAAGTCCAAAGAATCCGGAAATTGGGAAATGACGAAATATGACGAAACTGAGAATGATACGCAAAATGATGTGCGCTTTGGTATAAATTTTACTGCGGAGATAGAGATTGACTGAAGAGAAAGAATGTGGTGATTTTTGTGCTCCAGCCGGCGAAGTGAATTTAACCATGAAGTCTACATTTTTCTGAAGTAATATAGTGGTATACAGTGCTGTTGTTCCTGATAGATATGGAAAACAGTGTATGACTTCATAACTTTTGTTCAAAGTTGTAAATCTTCGTTCGAGCCGGCACAGTCATTAGACGACACCATTTTGTATCGTCTCCCGTTCTGCTATAACACTAGGATGTTATACCTTTGAGGTATGTTCACCTTTCAAAGTATTTTTAGTCCTCTCTTCAAGAGTAATTTAATTTTACAGAATCTTCACGGTCGTCAGTCTCTATTCTGGACATAAGGGGGCCACATGGGGTCTAAACCTCTTATCTTATCTTACACTCCATCTTAACCTATGCTGCATTTGAGTAGCATCTTGATGCATTGTTTATGCTCTCATCTTTCATCATGCTCCTATCCTGGGAGAATTTATCATGCTGTTTTGCTGCTTGGAGAATACCTAGAGCCTATACAACTATAGTTTCGAGTACAGTCTTTGGGCACAGTAATGCTGAGTGATCAGGAACTGCTGTTGGAGGAACAACATTCCAGCTAAGTTGGAAGATAACAGCTAAGTGGTATCTTGCATAGTCTCTTCACCTTTCGTTTATTATGTTGGAGTAATATTTGATATCTGGAATGTCCAGTGATTTCGGTTTTCGGTATAATATGATGATACAATCTTGTTGTGAGGAATCACAGCAGAAAGTCAACAGGTACATTATTTTCTGAGATCTCCTGTTAGATCCTATGAGACTGTTGTGTAAATACTCATTGTACATATTCATAATACATGTAATAAGTAAGTATTTACCATATATATGATGTTCGACGAAATGTCACAAATATCAAAAATTCTACAAGTGCTATTTTGATAGGATCTCTAGATGTTAGCTACCTGGTATTTGTGATAGGATATTCATTTGTATCTAATTTCACCATAATTCTAAGTTAACAATTAACAACTAATAACAATGATCATTTTATTGGTGGTTTTCCATAACCACACTAGTGCCACATGTAAATTTCATGGCATACTGAATAAAATGTAATATTCAAGAATAATTGTTCCTTTTTAATTATAGATCTCTCTCACCATTCTTAGCTATCATGCAATTCAATTTCGGGGTTTCTGGGTCTATCCCCAGCTATATAAGCTGTTAAAGATTCAGTGGCGCTCATGATTTTCTTCTATCCTATATGAACAGCATTTATGATTTTTATAATGTAGGGTCCATCTCAGTTGTTGAAAACTTAGTGAAAACAACGAATCCATGCCTATTGCCTACTGACATAAGAGCTACCGTTCGCAGTATAGTATATTGTCAAAAATATGCTACATGACCTCCTTCAACCAGTCTGCACTAGTGCGATCCACGCACATCATTACCAAGTATCCCGGTTTATGAGTGCATTTTGCGAATCTCACTTGAGGTCTCTCTACGGGGATTTGATACAGAGCCTCGGAGATTGAGTCCTGGACTTCTGTGAGCCTTTCAGTACTCATTTTCACCTCCGGGGAGCCCGTGTGTAACACAGCAACCTCAACTGAGGTAAGGGCATCTTCGAAGGATACTCTTTCGTGCCTTGGTTTCTCACTCAGCTGGCTGGTCTGTGGCGGTGTCGCACTGATTGACCGTGGTCGTTTTGTCGCTTTCATGCCTTGACCGGCCTACCTCGACGTTGTTGCTACAGGTCCCAGCCTCGAGGGCTCTGCGGGTTCCTTGCTTTTTAGGAAGTTCTCCTTGATTACCAGCCTCTTGGCTGAAATGTAATCAAGGGCCCTTTTCTAGGTGGGCTTTAAGCCTCAACCTCGAAGCTCCTCCGAGGTGTGCTATGTTCACCTCATCGTCTGATAGTAGCTCTAGTTCCTCAAGAGGAGATACTACTATCTTGTTTTTGGCTTTTGGTGCTTGCCCTTTTGTGGCCTTAGCACCAGGCGTACCCGCCATCTGTCTTGGGTTGGGTGTGGTCACCACCGCCCTTTTGACAGGTTTTTTATTTTTGTTTTTTAAATCCATTCAGATCTCACGAGTAGCTAGGGAAGTTTTGGTCCGCAACGACAGAGCCCCGCATGCCGTAGTGAGGTCTTCATACTCTGGGATTCGACCTTGTGTCCCAGAAGCTTCTTTTTTGATAGCAATCCCTGCTACCATCCGGTCCTCGGCACAGAATTCTCACACCTTGACTTGGGGGATTAATTCGACTTACCTTGTCTAGATCCGATGTGTTCAGTTTATGCAGGGTCACCTCGGGCAGAATGCGATTCTACATCGCGCACAGACGGTCTTGTGAATAGCTTCCTCGAGAGGTTTGCCCGACCTCCTCTGCTATTCCCCTGGAGTCGGCAAATGAAGATACCTCGACTCCTTCGTCGTGCACACTCTATCTCTCTTTCCTATCATCTCACATGGACACCATTGAAGCAGACAAGAAACATCGACTCAGACTATGTTCACATTGTTACTCTGCAGTCTCGCATCTGACATGCATACAGTTGAAGCAGATATGATCGCAGTGACCATATAAGACGACTTTGGAGGGTATATTGCAAGTACAATAGGCAGATGAAGATACATCGACTTCATCGGTGTGCATATTCTATCTCTCTATCCAATCATCTCACATGGATACAATTGAAGCAGACGAGTTCGCAATGCCCATATGAGACGACATCTAAGCGGGTATAACGCACACAACTTGCAGAACAAGAAACTTTGACTTCGACTATGTTCACACTGTAACTCTGCAGTCTAGCATTCAACATGCATACAGTTGATGCAGAAACGATTGCAGTGACCGTATATGACGACTTTGAAGGGATTATAACGGAAACAATAATAATAATAATAATAATAATAATAATAATAATAATAATACGTCTTTATTCATCATTTGCAGGACAACAATAAACAAAATAACAAAATATTTTACACAATCAGACACAAACTGCAATGACGAAAAGGCGAAGTATCAGCATATAGCTGTTTTTCAACTCAACCCGAAAAAAATGAACTTAAGGAAACAATTAAATTTTCTGATAAATATAGTGAAAACGATAAAATAAAAAATGAGCAGAAGGTAATGTAGTTCGTTACATGTACAGAAGGGAATCAAGATGACATGGCCAGATTTCATTGTGCAAGAACCTAACTAACAGTAGAAATGATAAGCTTCAATCTTTTCTTGAAGTTACTGAGAGTGTAAGATCTATATTCTCTGGGCAGTGTATTATAAAATCTACTTGCGTTATATGAAAAACTACGTTTGAACATTGTCGTTTTGTGTTTTGGAATGACAAGTGTAGATCTATTGCGACTGGATGATTGATTATTGATTTGTGAAAATGTTTTCAGTCGTTTGTGAAGGTATTCAGGTTTACCTGTGGTCAAGACTTTATGCACTTGAGTCAGCAGATGCAGATGTCTCAATTGTTCTAACCTCAACCAACCTGAAGTAACCATTTTAGCTGATATGTGGTCAAATTTCCGTATTCCATGAGAAAATCGCACGCAGGAGTTTTGAATACGTTGGAGGCGGTGGGAGTCTGTAGCTAATAGTGCTGGACCGTAAATACTGTCACAGTAAGATAACTTAGAAAAAATAAGAGACTCGCAAAGTTTGAGTTTGAGATTAGTGGATAGAATATCTCTATTTGGATACAACTGCCTTAAGACGTTGAATGATGATTGACATAAATAACTCACATGTTTCTTGAATCTCAGATCTGTGTCCATCCAAAGACCAAGGTTCTTGCATTCATTCACAATAGGAACAGTATGATCACCTATGTTGATTTTCATATCAGTAGCAGACTCTCTTACTTTTTTAGAGCCAAATAGCATCACCATAGATTTCCTAGGGTTGAGCTTCAGGTTGTGTGCACATGAAATGTCAAACAGAGAATTCAAATCTCTATTTATAGAGTTTTGTGACTCCTGCAAATTAGAAGGCGTGAATGAAAGATAAATCTGCGTGTCATCAGCATAGTGGTGTACTGTACAGTTACTGATGAATTTATTTAAGTCTGATATATACAAAGAGAATAGAAGCGGACCCAAGATAGATCCTTGAGGTACCCCGAATGTAACAGATGCGGCCTCAGACACCTCTCCATCTAAAATGACTCTTTGTGTTCGATTGGTTAGGTAATTGGATATGAGATTGACAGCTTCAGGAGCGAATCCGAAGGAACTGAGTTTTTTACACAGTAATTTGTGATCAAGGGTGTCAAATGCCTTACTGAAATCCAAGAGAACCAAACAAGTGATATTACCAAGGTCCCCCGCCCGAAAAATGTCATCAGTAATTGAAAGGAGAGCAGTAGTAGTGCTATGTTGAGATCGAAATCCTGACTGAACTGATGTGATGATCTTTTGTTGTTCTATAAAATCATTCATTTGATCTTTCAATATCATTTCTAATGCTTTGGATAGAGAAGGTAAGATGCTTATAGGTCTGAGGTCTGTGAAATCAGAGGGTTTGTTACATTTCGCCAGAGGTATCACTAGAGCTTGTTTCCATATAGAAGGGAATATACCAGTAGAGATGATAGAATTGAAAATGAAGGTAATGTGATCCAGTAGTTGTTCTTCAACAAGTAATATCATTTTGATAGAAATGTAGTCAGATCCGACGGCATTGCTTTTGATTCGAAGTATATACTTCCTGAGTAATTCAGCGGAGATAGGTAGAAATTGAAATTGATTTTCTACAAGTACATCATCGTATCGATCAAGTAAGGATAGCTGAGCGTTGGATTTATCAGGGTGTGTGATACTGCTGAAATTACGATTGATTGAGTTGACGTTCCTTAATTCGATAGGGATTTCAGGGCTTGTCTCCTTCCGCAGGATTTCAAGAGATCTGAGAGTATTCCAAATTGATTTAGAGTGTTTTTGAGCAAGAATAAAGTCAAGGTAGGCCTTTTTCTCCCTGCGAATAGCTCCGGTGGTATAATTTCTGAGATCAGTGTAACTCTTCCAATCATTAGTAGAATTACTTTTTCTGAATTTCCGTTTTGCTTGATCTCTCAACTTAATCATTTGTTTGATATTGTAAGTAAGCCAAGGTGCTGGAGGTTTGCTTACTCTTTTGGTCAGAAGAGGCGCGTGTGCGTTGAAAATAACTAGCAGATTATCGTTGAGATAATCAAACATTTCATCGATATCGTTCAATGAATATATATGATCCCAGTTCATACATCTTAGGTCAGAGTAAAATTTATGCGATTCGAATTTTGAAAAATCCCGGAAAGTTATCATCTAAAGTTTGTTCTTCGAAGAAAAGGTTTTAATTACACAAGACACTGTCATATGATCGGATATTCCATCGATATCCCTGACTTCAACAGCAGACACTTGTTCACTATCTGACACGAAGATGAAATCGATGGAGGTTTGACTGTTATTAGTAATTCGAGTAGGTTGTTTGAAGTTGAAAGAGTTCAAGAAGTCTTGAAAAAGTTTGCAGCGTGTGTCTACATAGAACCGGTTGATGTTGAGGTCTCCTCCTACCAGGAAGAGATCACTGAGAGGTAACAAATTTGCTACACTGTCTTCTAGTTCATTCAAACATAGTTTAACATTGGCCGAAGGAGGGCGGTATAAGATTCCAAAAATCAAAGTATTTGAGTTGGACGTAATCGAAATCCACAATTGTTCTAGATTTGAACTAATTTGGGAGAATACGACTTTGAATTGAACTCGTTTATTGATATAAAATGCCACTCCACCTCCTCTTGTTGGTCTGTCAGCTCTCATTAAATGATAAGATTCAATAGCGACTGCGCTGGATTCAATATCACTGCTCAGCCAAGTTTCAGTTACACCAAAAATATCAGCATTTTCGTTCAGGATAAAATCAGATAGATAGATCTTACATTCAAATGAAAAAAACTTACATCCTTGTACATGTTCACAGAAATATCGAGAAATAATTTTATTTCAAAAAAAAAAAAATAATACTAATAATAATAATAACAGAACAATGATTATTAGCTCATGTAATCAACAAGCCAATCCTAAATGGCGCTAAAACTACAATATAATTGGTAATGATAAAAATGAAATAGTGAAAATTGAAAGATTACAGACTATTGAGACATAGATAATTTTGCAGCTCTTGGTAAGTTGTTTCTTTTGGCTAATGGCTGCACAGGAGATAAAGGGGGTCTTTTACTAGTGCTATCTTCGACAGTTCTTTCTTTCAGTATATCTGGTTTGGAAGAAATATCATCGATAGAATATTTCCTGTTGTTTATGACAAGGTGGAGTTCAATAATAGAAGCTTTGATTCCGTTTCGTTTGGCTGTATTTAGATGTCCCCTCAATTCTTTGTGGACAGCCTGATCAACAGGATTCAAATCGTTTGCAAGAAATAAATTCTTGTCCTTGAGTTTGAATGAGTTCCGTTGTATCTCAAGTTTCTTAATATACGAAAGCAGTTCAATTTTCACAACACTTTTGTTATTCTTAGTTGGAAAGAAATAGATGTTATTGATTTTTGAATAGTCGAGGTCGATTTCTAGGGAGCTGCTGAGAAACTTGAGAGCCTCGTCTATATCATCACATTCAAGGCCAAAAACAACGATATTGTTTCTACGAGAATTTCGATCCAGAGTAACCAATTTGTTTTTCAGTTGTGAGTATTCTTCTTCAA